TGGATCATCTCAAGTCCAAGCGTTCTTATCTGTTATATAATCGGATATCTTATAATAAGCTTTTTTAATAAGTATTTTTTTAATAGTAGATTTAAACTGCATGATATCTAATTGTTGTATTTTGCTTGGGACCTTATTGTAGAAGCGCACACAAAGACCCTTGAAAGAGTTATTAACTTTTTGCAGTCTAGTGACAGGCACCGTTAATTTATTTTTATTTCTTGTATTAAAATTGTGTACATCACTTTTTATAGAAAACAAACTAATATTTTTACGAATGTACATTAAGTTCTCGTATATGTATTGAGAAGCAACAGTCATAATGTCTATTTCCTTAAATTTCTCCCTTAAAGAGTCCCACATCCTAAGATTATAAATTGATCGAATTGCTCTTTTCTGAAGCACAAAAATTGTTTGTATGTCGGCAGCATTTCCCCACAATAGGATACCGTACGACATAACACTATGAAAGTAACTGAAGTATACTAATCTGGCAGTATCTATGTCAGTTAACCTACGTATCTTCATTACGGCATATGCTGCAGAGCTAAGTCTGTAACGGTGTGCCATGCCACCGTTTGTTTTCCTAGGTTTCAGTATGCAAACTTTTTGCTTTTGAAATTCAACATCATTTCATTTTACTATTCGTCTTTCGTAATTTAAAATTTTGACTAATCAATTTTACTCTTTATGGATGTCAGTTCGTAAGAAATTCTCCTATACACAAGATGAAATTATAATATAATACAATATTATTGGTATAAATTTTACTATGTAATTTTAATAATTCATATATTATGGTGATACAATAATATAACATATTTACTAAATTAAAACTGTATTTTGTACGATCCAAAAGTGTAACAAGAAGCCCGACAAGGGTTTTTTTATTATTACCCTTATTTCATTAATAAATTATACTCAAGCTGATCAGCCTATTTAATTGACGAAGCACCGAACCCGTAACACTGGCGCCGCAACGTGGTTGAAAAATAGGCTGACTACTGCAATAGAAGACAATAGTGCACACTTTACGACCAACACCACAAACACATTTACTCACATAATCAGACAATAGACGTTCAGCGTTACTTTGGCTGGTCACAAATGTGATCGGTTCTGATGCCATTGTATCGAGGAACATACAAACACGTACTCAACATAGTGTTATAAAACAGGAAAATTTTAATAGTAAATAATTTAATTTATATTCCGTAAGCTATTTTTATTTTTTTTCAAAAATTTTATGAGATTTCTTTTTGACGAATAATATTATTTTTAATATTTAAAAAATAGAATATTGTACAATAATTTATTTTCCGTTTACGATTTGACATTCATTTCTTTTATAATAATCAATTTTAATCATGGATATATCGTACTTGAATAAACCAGAAATTATTTATGAACTGAAATTACGAAACGCGAATTTTGAATCCACCCAAACGGCTCAAGAATTGCGTGAAATTTTATTACCAATGATGGGAGACCTTGAGAAATATTCTTGGATTACTTATTTATTTATTGTTACTACCCTGTAAATACTCATAACGTTTTCATTTAATTATTTGGCTACTCATACTTATTGTTATTTTTATTATTTTCATCTAGTGCGGTTGACAACACTATAAATAAGCCAATGTCAAAATACCAATTTAGTGCGGATGACAACACTATAAACAAGCCAATGTCAAGTATCAATTTTAAAGTGCGGTTGATAACACTATAAATAAGCCAATATCAAAATATTTATTTGTGTACTTATGTATACTTATTTACTTATTATCTAACACTACATAATGTATTGTTATACCTAATGCATTACCTACTTTATTTATTACTACGATTGTATATTATTCTACACTCTACATTTAGACACTTACACAACACACTCATCTACACTCAACAACACTACACAATTCACCTAAAGTCAGCGGGTGGTGACTGACATTATTTTAAAGAAGCCTACACTATTTTCTAGGTCGATTTATTAGAGATAATCTTTCTTAAATACAAGTTACCTCTAATTGCTAGGAATTTTTATCTTAATAAGATAAAGATTGTTTGAATGATGTTTGAATGATGAAGTAAGAACATTTTATGAAAGGGAAATCGCCTAATGTAATTTATCCACTATATATACCATCCCCATTTCTAAATTAAATCATGATAGCATTAATTAATCACATTTTATATAAAATATTTTAAGCTTGAGTAATCCAAGAATATCTAAAAAAAAATCTTTCAGATTTTTTTTAACCCCGGCCCCCCCGGTATTGTAACGGTGTGCCATGCCACCGTTTGTTTTCCTAGGTTTCAGTATGCAAACTTTTTGCTTTTGAAATTCAACATCATTTCATTTTACTATTCGTCTTTCGTAATTTAAAATTTTGACTAATCAATTTTACTCTTTATGGATGTCAGTTCGTAAGAAATTCTCCTATACACAAGATGAAATTATAATATAATACAATATTATTGGTATAAATTTTACTATGTAATTTTAATAATTCATATATTATGGTGATACAATAATATAACATATTTACTAAATTAAAACTGTATTTTGTACGATCCAAAAGTGTAACAAGAAGCCCGACAAGGGTTTTTTTATTATTACCCTTATTTCATTAATAAATTATACTCAAGCTGATCAGCCTATTTAATTGACGAAGCACCGAACCCGTAACAAGTCTACTCGACAATCTATCAACATGTGGACCCCACTGTGGTTTAGAATCTAATGTTATTCCTTAAAAATACTGTGGTATCCACAAGGCCCATGTTCTTATCTTTTACATTAACATTTATATCTACTTTTTTAACATTAGGTAGTACAAATTTTAAGCATTTTGTTTTTCCTTCATTAAGGAGAAGATTATTTACACTAAACCAATGTACTACTTTGGCGATAGAATTGTTCACATCGTCATTTAGAGGTAACCCTCTTTTAATTTTAAACAAGAGTGAAGTGTCATCCGCAAACAAAACTATTTCGTGATCATCCCTTACGAAATAAGGCAAGTCATTTATGTAAATCAAAAACAAGAAAGGACCAAGTATTGAGCCCTGCGGAACGCCCATCTTAATTTCCGATCCAGGGGATCTTTTGCCATTGATATCAACCCTCTGTACTCTGTCAGTCAAGTATGAGACAATAAAATCCAATGAGTTATCTCTAAATCCATAAAAATGCAGTATCCTAATCAATGTTTCATGAAAAACACAATCAAATGCCTTAGATAGGTCACAGAAAACACCTAACGCATCATGTAAATCCTCCCAGGCATTAAAAATTTCTTGTATTAACTCGACACCGGCTTCGGTTGTCGAGCGACCCCTTGTAAAACCAAATTGTTGTCGATTCATAAGCTTATTCTTGTAAAAGTACGTTTGTATTTGATCCAGCATGATTTTTTCAAAAATCTTACTAAAAGTAGGTAACACGGATATAGGTCTAAAGTTAGTAGGGTCAGATGTGCTACCCGATTTATGTAAAGGAATAATTTTACTATATTTCATGAGCTCAGGAAAAATACCACAATCAGTACATTCATTAAATATATAAGCTAAGATTGGAGCTATTGTCTCAATTACCGATTTCGAAACTTCAATGGAATTACCCCATAAATCAGCAGTTTTCGTTTTCTTTAGCTGATTAAAAGATTTTATTATATCTTTAAATCAATGTGTTGAAACTTAAATTGGCTATTAGAATTATTTAAACTTGCCTTTAAAATAGATTCAGCAACAGTGGAAGAGGAATTCAAAGATTGTGTAATTAAGACTGGAATTTCATTTGTTACCCATATTGTAGTATTTGAAACAAAATCAATTTTATCATTAAATATCTATAACGGCGTCGCAGAGCCGCCATATTTGATTTTGTTTTACCTATCTAAAAACACTTTGGCTACTATAACAAATCTAACGGTACCTCGATTATCTAAATCCGTCCAGCGGTACTGAAGTTGAGATAATAAAGAATATTATTATATATACATACAAGATACGCGTGAAAAACCTAACCGTGCCTTTGCCGTCAAGTAAAAATTACACCAACTTAAAAATCGTAATAAAGAGAGAGATAACTGAAAAAAGAGAAATAATACCACAATGTTTTTATATTCAACAAAAAATCGAAACACAAAATGTGGACACACCAACAAAGAATAAAAATTTGAAGATAAAAATTTTGTGTTATTATTTCTCTCGTTTCAGTTGGTTTGTCTTTATGACTGACGATTTTGTTAAAAGTCGGTTTAATTAAAAAAAAACTGTCTTTTAATGTATGTTTGACATACACAATTTATTATGTACTGTAGGTACTATAGCAATATTTAAATAAATATTTTCTGTAATTAATAACACTGAACGATAAAAACTCAAGTCGAAATCGTCAAAATATATTTATTATGCGGTACCTTGCTTTAGTATTTTGTTTTATTGCCACAGTTCAGTAGGGAGCGGATCGAATAATGAAAATATTGATAACGTGTCATGCGTTATTAACGGTTATAGTACATCAACTGTTATTACTATTATCAGTGGTATAGAATCACACTGAAAGGGAACGGGCGCAGCATATGTGACTCATTAACTGGTGGTAATCAATACGGCACCAGGGCCACGTCAGCGACCGGCCACTGTCCGCCACTCCGCGCCGGCCACGACTCGTGCGTGCTACAGGCCGCCCGCCGCCGTCCTCGCATCGTTGGAGACACTCTCGTTTTGTTCTATTTATAAAGTATCAATAAATATCTACCAGCACCGTCTCAATCGGAGTCTGCTATCGGGAAAAGAGTCGAGAGTATCAAAAGTTTTACCTCAAAAGTCGTAGTCCTTCCGATGAGAAATAATGCAGAATCATTTTAAATATCGGAACGGTTATCGAGGATGGAATATTCCCCCGTTTAGAAGATCATAAAACTAGGATTAGTCGGATTCGTTAAGGCAAATCCGATACGATCTATCAGTATTAAATCGAAGACGTCGTGAGGATGGAGGAAATCGAGGAGCCGACGCTGCTTCAGACGGTTCGAGCGCATACGGGTGAGGTGACGTGCGTAGACGCGTTCGGTGCTCGGTTGGCGACAGGTGGCGGGGATCGCGTGCTGCGCCTGTACGAGTGGGAGCGCGGCAGCGGCTGGAGCGAGACGGCGATAGCGCGCGCCGCTCACCGCTACGGCGTGACGGCGGCGCGCTACTCGCCCGCGGCCGCGCTGCTGGCCTCGGCCGGCGTCGACGGCGTGCTGCGCGTCTGGTGCGCCCGCACGCTCAAGGCAGGACATTTTTCTATACTTATTCAAATTATATTCGATAGCATATATTTCGAAATGATAATATATCTGCCACTTATCGATCACTCTTCACTCGTATAGTAGTGCGTTCGTAGAGACATCTTAATTGTGAACTTTGTCTTGTAAGAAGAAATAAGAGCCCAACTTAAATACACAGTTGAATTTGATATCTCGTACGCCTATTATTAGAAGAGGAAGAACTGCATTATATACATATTTTATTAAATAAATTAGGGGCGCCGAACGCTAGCGGCGGCCGGTGCGGTGGCAGCGCGCGCCCTGTGTTGGGTGGGCAGCGTGCGCTTGCTGGCGGGCCACGACGACGGCGCGCTGTACGTGTGGCACGTCGCTAGGGCGAGCGTGTTGTCGCGGCTGGCGGCTCACGAGGGAGCGTTGTACGCCATCGCTGCACCGGCCCACGGCGCTCTTCTCCTCACTGCATGTACTGAAGGCGTCTTGAAGGTTTTCGATTTAGTGGGTATGATATATGTTTAAGATAAATAAACTTACACTTAAAAATTACTAAGCTAATCCCTTGATTAGCTTAGTAAATTTTTTTACTTCTCTAGCCACTTGTGTTCAATTTGTACTATTAAACTGGTGTGTATCATAGTGTCACTAAATGGCGCTATACAAATAGTGCATCGCTGTATGTTTTTACTTTTCACGTTACATAATTTACTTTGTTACATCGACAGCGCTAAGTTAATCTTATTCTGAAGAAAAATACTTTAACCTATCCGAGATAACATAAGAAGTGACATCAGTGTCAAGCTTCTACATATTAATTGTTGAAAGAAAACCTTTGACTCGTGCTCTGTGCATAACCGAACCTGTCATATTTGCATTTTGTATACTTACGATAAATAACAATGTATCTAAAGTAGGTCATTGCCCCCGCTATACTGTCATCAAATCGTTTACGTAAATCAGTGTATTTTTTATCGTTCATACAATCGGATTCACCCGTAAATATTCATTTTATAAAAAAGTCGTATTTTTTAAAGATTTGTTAAAATGGTACTCCAGAGGTGTGCCAAAGTGAGGAGAGTAAGCCGCCTGCGCCACTCCTGTGGGTAGACGGTGCGCACGACCTCGGAGCGATGGCAGCAGATGCGGCGGCAGATGGTATGCATGCAGCAACCGGTGGTCATGACGCAAAAATACGAATCTGGCGAGTGCACTGGACAGGTGCAGCAATATTCGTAACCTTAGAACTTTAAAACTTACAAATGATACTAATACAACGCAAAATTTCAAACAATCCATATCTTCCATAATACAGAAGGTGGATGTCGTAGTCTGCAACCGGCGAGTACTTTAGAAGGTCATACTGATTCAGTAACAGCGCTGCGCTGGGCAGGGGCGGTCCTCGCATCTAGCGCGTTGGACCGTACGGCACGCTTGTGGCTACCACGTGCCGGAGCATGCCTGCACGTGGTCCATGCACATGCACGATACCTGACATGCATCGCCCTATCTGCAGACCTTCGCTATATGGTCACGGGTGAGACATTTCATATTTGATATAGTCTAAACTTAAAATATAAGTCCAAGAAACAGGAATGTTAGGTGGATTAAATTAGTATACATAATGATCTCGGTGTCCTAATAATCCCTTACTTCACAAGTGTAACAATGATTATTAAACGTCTATTTTTATTACGTGATATTTTTTGAATTTAAATCTCAATAATATGATATTATAGGTTCTAACGACAAGTCTGTGCGCATGTGGTCGCTGGGCGAGCTCACTGTGGATGGCGAGCTGGAGCCGGTGTGCGATCCCTTTGCTCACTTTGCTCTCGGGGACTTGGAGGTCTGTAATTTTCTTTGTTGTATACGTATTTAAAAAAATGGAATACTTTTATATTATACGTATCTGTACGGTTTAGCACCGAACATTCCTCCGCGTCAGCATTTACGCCACGCGTCCATTATTAATATTTTCATTAGTTCGCTATTGTCTAACAAGTCGGCTGCACGTCTCATTTATCTACGTACTTATAACTATTTATTTGACATCATTATAATAAAATTGTCAAGTATATTGTGAGTAATAAATCTATCAAAATCAAGCAGTGTTTTTATCGTCTATCGAGACAGGTGTGTGGTGCAAGATCATACAGTATCTTTGTATATTATTTTATTAAGACAACTTGAGATCTTCATTCATTCAACTGGACTGTTCCAGTTCATTTAAAGAATCAATTGTGATCGTGTCGTCATACGTGACGTATATCGGGTTGGGAAGATTCTCACACCCTGTGAAAGCCAAACTTCTTTAACTAAGTTTAATTAACTACTGGTTTCTTATATTTTCACGCGCACTACTCATTCAATAAATATATAAAACTAATCATTAGAGCAGTCACCCGGATTGCGAAAGGTCACGGGTTCGAGTCCCATCTCGGAGTGACAGGGACAAAGTGTTATTGTTAAGCATTTTTTAAAGAATTTTTAAGAATAAATAAAACTGTTTTATTATCCATTAAAAACATTTCGGAACCTTTACAGATTCCCTGTTAATTAAGGTTAAGATTTAAGATTTTGAATGTTTTATAATTAAGAGCATAGCTACCATCAAACAATACTTATCAATAACATATAGGAACGTTTATGTAAATTAACATTACTCAATATTACTAGTCGTTCTAATATTGCAGGGAATAGGACCAGTAGATGAAGACGCTTTAGAAGATGCAGGAAAGGGCGAAGATAGTAAAGAGGATGGCGGCACAGAGTGCGTGTGGCGGTGCGAGGCACACACCGGTCCCGTCAACTGCATAGCTGTGTGTGGAGTTTTGATCGCAACAGCATCCAGGTTAGATTGGATTTGAATCCATTTGGAAATCACTTACTTAAAAATAGAGAATGATAGATAGAATTTAAACAATCGATTGTTGTTAAATAATCGTCGTTCGTCGTGTTTAGTGACGGACAAGTGAAGATTTTCCGTTGGGATGAGGAGTCTAAATTAGCCATGATGGAGCGTTCACTGGAGGCGCACGAGTATCCGGCGCTGGCATGCGAATTCGGTGCCGGCGGTGCTGTGTTGCTGACTGCAGGAATCGATGGCTGTGCGCATTTATGGGACGTACAGGTACTGAGCCATCGGCGATAGCTGTATCGTCTTGTGGGTGGGTCACTTATGCCTATCACATAAAACCGTTTTTGATTTTTAAGTAGTCGTTTGATCTGTAATCGAGTTTCGAATGGCATCGGTCAGTCTGGTTGTTTGCTGAGATCGCTGTCGGTGCCGGCGGGCGGCGGCGGGGAGGCGGGCGGCGGCGGGGGCGGGGGCGGCGTGCGGGGGGCGCGCGTGTCCCCGCACCGGCCGCCGCTGCTGCTGCTGGCCACCGACGACGGCCTCGCGCCGCTGTGGAGCCTCACCGACGCCGACCCTCTACCGATGCAGTTCGTATTCAAATCACAACGCTACTCGGCTAATGTAAATAGGGGAAGATTGGCACCATTCGTACACTTTTTAGTCAATGATTTTTAAAATATTGATAATCAAAGATAAATTACTCAATTACTTATTAAAACATAAAGCATACTTTCTGCTCCTTATTTAAAAAGTTCAAAGCCGATATCTTGTATAATATATCAAAGGATTGAATTTTACTAAAAGCTTATGAATGTCCGAATCTACCCCTATTACGGGGTACAATCGTACATGGGCCGGGGAACATTCAGACAGTGTGGTAACTTGATATATATTAAGTAAAATAACAAATTAATTAAAAAACATCGTTTTCATTGATCTCAAACTTATCAACGATGTAATAAACTAAACGACATATGCCTATATGTCGTTTAGAGTCTAACTATCTTTTTTACGAAAACCGTGCATCCATTCTATATCAGCGAAGCCAGTTTCATAATAATTTTGTTAAATATGTATATTTCAAAACTTTATCAGAATCATTTGATAGTGTTGTGACTTCCAATATCGTGATTCCGAAATGTGTTTTTGAACTTTTTCAATTGATTAGTCTTTTCAGTAAAACTATTTGTTTTTTACTATATGAAAACACCTTTAACAGACGCAAAAAACTCATTTAATGAATATTGGGAACGTGTCTGCCTTTTCTTCTTAAAATTTCGATCATGTTTACTAAATTTTCTGATATAATAATAAAAATTGTTAGCACACAGGGGGTTAGGGGGTACATACATACGCGTACGAATGTGCCCTTGCTGGAAATGTACGAACGTGCCCCGAAGATCAAGAGTAAAATTATTTTTCTAACACATAACCCACGTTGAAAAATACACATAATAGATATATTATTATTATCTTAATCGTATTCACTTAAAATTAAGCAATAATCCAGTAAAATTTGACGTGTAATTAAAGCACGGAAGATCCAAAAACATTAACAAAGTATTTACTATGAGCATGCCAAAACACTTTTAAGTTCTCTAGTTTCGCTCGCAGTGGCTGCATGTGTGGCTAACTTCGTGGACAACTGGCAGTCGCCGGCGCCTATCCACTGACACAAAGTCGTAATAAATAGACTTTTCTACAAGATGTAGAAGTGACTGTATGAAGGTTCCCCGTGTACGAATGGTGCCAAACTTCCCCTACAGATCTCATTTAAATGTGGTCGTCTACTTCATTGTTTATGAGATCGAGAGAGGTCTTTTTTATCAAATGCCAGATATATTTGTCTCTTATTTTAGTATTATGCGGATCACGAAATATTTTGTTTTGTTATTGGCAGCATGTACGGTGGTCACGCGGAGGCAGCGACTTGTTGCGCTTGGAGCGGCGACGGCCGCGCGCTGGTCACCGGCGCCGGCAGCGGCGAGCTGATCGTGCGCTCGCCCCCGCCTGCGCCACGTGACCTTTGCGTTCAACAGAATGCACACGAAGGAGGTATTGTTTTTTATTGTTGTGATATTGTCTTTTCATTCATTATTATTTCATTTTCTATAAAAAGAAGACTGGGTCAAACCAAAAAATACCTACCTGTATTTTAAAAGGGACAACTTATTCAAAACCTTTTATATGAAATATAAAGAAATTCTTATATAAATAATTAAAAAAGATATTGAGCAGTTTACTTTGAAATTTTTGCGGTACAGATGTATAGTCAAACTCTAAGAATAAAATAAAAAAATTAAACAATAAGAATAAAAGATTTACAATATTCTTAAACTCAATTAAATCTATATAAAAATAACATAATTACAACTTAAAACTAAAATTAATACAAGCAAAAATAATATAAGGAAAAATAATAAATTAAAAAAATACAGTCAGAGCAAAACTGTTGTATACTTAATTGTTAATGCGCTTGCGCATCGTCGACCGAAGCTAGAAACGGTTCTCCAACCAAACGCGGTTGAAACTATTGATATACCACTGCAGCGACAGGACATATTAAATTTTGATTTACGTGCCAGTTTATCAACAAATACCGTTTTCTGTGTTTACTCCCTCCCCGTATTGCAAAAGTGTACTTATATTCACTCTTGCTGTAGTTTTAGTGTATGAAAAGCATTGTCATTTAAGGTCACTTTCACCAATTAACAATTTATGACCATGCTTCTTCTTTTTCTTCTTATTTCAACGGGCGTCTCCGCAACTCGACGGCAAAAATTGCGTATATTTTACGTATGGCGGGTGAGTGCAAGGATACTACCCAGCCAGCCCTGCTTTGCCCGGTAGTTGGCCACTCCATTGCATTCCAGCAGGCCGTGAGCAGCTGTTTCTTCTGCCTTCATGCATCCTCTGCACGAGGGGCCGCCAGTGACACCTAGATTGAAAAGGTGCCTGTTAAAGTTGCCATGACCAGTGATAGCACTTTTTACCAGGTGCAATAATGGTTTACTTAGCTGTAGGAGGGACTTGGAGAGACGAGCGTTTAATCGGGGTAGTGCAAGTTTGGCCTGCCTACAGGTATAAAAATAAGGCTGAATTGTTCGAATACATTGTTCGAGGGGCCTGCTAAGTGCTTCATCAGTTGAATCTGCTACGTGCCAAATCATCTGAATTGCCAGGACAGTGGTGACCAAGAGTCAACTACGAAACGGTTGTTTAATGTCACGAACCCACACCCTAACTTATAATAAATAAATAAAATAAATTAATAGTGTAGAATTTTTAAGGTTATTAAATATTGGGTCATTCTTATCTATTTGATTGGCTTAACCGCTACAATTTGGATACAAGTTGAACAAGTCGTAGTCTAAAACGAGGGTTTATTGAAAGACTGAAGTTTAGTTACACCATTTAATTTAACTGTACCGTTTAAGATATCGATGTGTACCCTGTAGGAGTGCAGAGTTGTGACTTCGCACCTTGTGACGGTGTGGTGCCAGATGGGTCCTACTTACTCGCCAGCGCTGGCTCCGATTCATTAATCAAGTTGTGGGTTATCGAACTAGATGAGGTCAGTATCTTTTAATATTTTTTTTTTATATGAAAGCAAGAGTCATCATGAGTGGCCGGTAAGTAAAAATGTTGAAAGATGCAGAACATTTCACATGGGAATAAGTGGTGTAGAAAGATTTTTTTATGATCCCTATCTATAAATTATCCGGATTTTATAGATGGGGATAACATTGGTCAGGAAGTCTCCGAGAAATATTATGGTTAGAGTAATAAACCCCAAACATTGTGCATTACAGGAAGCGGTAGAAGCAAACATTAAACTTGCGTGTGCCGTATTAGCTCATGGCAATGGAGCCACATGCGCGCGTTGGGGTGTTGGAGGGCTACTGGCGTCGACGGGTTTTGACCAGTGGGCTCGTGTATGGCGAGTGGAATCCAACGGGACTGAATTGTGTCCAGTGACGGCGGTACCAACGGGGAGCGCAGGTGGAGCGCCTGCCGTTGCTTTACTTCCAGGATTATTGGCCGTGGGATCACTAACGGGTGAACTCGCATTGTGGCGGTTACCAGAAGGGGATTGCGCTCTAGACTCTGATGACGCCGAGCTGCCGAGATTTTGGGGAGAAGAGGGGGTAGCACGTTGGCTGCATGAATACATCGTACGAGTACCAGGTAAGTTATTTTTTCATAAATAATTATCCGCCGAAATGTTCGCATATCAAGTTCAAGAAGTATATTTCTTTGGTTCGATTCCCAGTCATGTCTATGTAAAAGTACTATCTTTATTGTTTTAGCTTTTTATAATACAACAATTTTGCTCATACTTTATTTGAAATTTGAGCAATGTGTAAAGTACATTATGAAGTTGTCCGATATTTACTTATGTATTTAATTTTCAAAGTAAACACTAAATTCTGATAGGTGTACCCGGAGCGCTGGGGCCAGAGTTGGAAGTGCAGCTGATAAAGTGTGCACGAGAGGCGTCGGTAACAGGAGCGCGGCTACTCGATGACCCCGTCGACGAGCTACTTGCTATTTTCGGATATGGTATTTTATTCGTATAGTTAAACTCGTACTATTCTAAAACCGAGTTTCTCCCAGTGGTATGACGTGTGTATCTCTTCATTTCTACAAACTACGACCATTGTGAGAAGATTTAGAATTTTCCGATCGCGAGAGTCTATTGTTCCTTAGGAAATTAGTTGCACTCATGTAGAGTCCTATTTAAACTATTTGACTAATACTATGCTCATTTGAAAAAAGTAATACCTTGCTTAAACTCGGTCATAACAATTTATCAAAAGTACGATTCCCCATTATACTGCTCCAGTTAGATACTATCGGTAGTCGAAATTGAAAAAATCCAATGAGATCGAATATTTTTATTTATCTATAGTACGAAGGCAGCCGGCTGCCCCGTCGATAGCGCAGGTTTTTAAGGACTGCTATATTGCAACATCACGGATGTCATCGTTTTCAGGTCCCGAGGAGAGCGAGCGGGACGTCGCAGATGTCGCAGAAGTGCGAACACGTTTCGTAGACGAGCTGCATTGGTTGCGGGAACCACCGCCCCCGGCCCGACTCGTGAGCGTTCTCTTTCGTAGCGAATCCGGGGAACGACTAAATTTTAGCGAGCGGAAGCGTTCGAGACGGGCCGATCTCCGAAACGAAAAGTGTCACGAATCCCGCATTTTAATCCCGAATCGAGTTTTCATATCGCCCCGAAGACTCGAAGTCGGAGATATCGGTCGGGAGGCGGGAGGGAGCCGTCTCCCGCCCCGTTCGAAAGAGCCCGAGGAGCGCGGCGAGGGAAGGCGGATTTTTTCCCCGGAAGCGAAGATAACACATAAATACTGGGACGGAAGGGTCGGCGTCGGCGGTTTTGAGTTTTTCACTACGAGCTAAGTGTCGCCCGGGACCCGCCGACGACGTTTCAACAACGTCAATCGATCGAAAACGCGGTCGAATAACCCCAGCCCTGCGATACTGTAAAATCCAGACCCGAATTCGAATTCACTCATGTGTCCGAATTCACGTCGTTCAGTGTAAAAATTCTATCGATTCCATTTTTTTTGTATAAAAATACAAAACAAAACGGATCGAACACACGCGTCTCGGATATTCTATTCCTATATCATTTGGAAACTCACTTCACTTATGCTACGAAACGTCATTACCGATTCAAGGTCGAGCGTATGCCTCTTTTCGAAGTCAATTCGGACACCTGAGAGAATTCGAATTCGGGTCTGGAGTTCAACAGAATCGCAGGGCGGACGCAGAGCGTACACGTCTCGACCTAACACGCGACGCTATCGCGCAGGCATGGACCGCGCCGCACTCGCTGCTGTGCCCCGAGTCGCACGCGCTGCTGGCGGGCGCGGGCGCGGCGGGGCCCGTGCGCGCGCCCGACGCCCGCACCCGCGCCCGCGCCGCGCACCACGAGCGCGCCCTCGCCGCCCCCGCCCCCGCCCGCGCCCCCGCGCCCGCCCCCGGCCGCGCCCCGCGCCGCATCGCGCCCAACTACCGGCTGGCCGCCGCGCTGCGCGCGTACCTGCGCCTGCAGCAGCCCTACACGTGAACTCTCGTCTCCCTGGACGTCCGTCTTGCGCATACTTTCGTTGTGAACGTGGTGTGTTTTGATATTTCACAGAGTGTGGCCCGCGGGTCGAGCGTTCGCTCCGGACGGTCGCGATCGTTGGGCGGTTCCCGTGATTCTTTAGAGCGATGTTTCCCGACCTTTTCGATTCCCTACTCCTGTGAACATGTATGGGAGTCGAGTTTACCCCTCGCTAATTTAAAATAATTCGACCGCCCAGATTCGAACTAAAATATTTTTATTAGATAAAAAATTGCAATTGAATCGTTAGGGTACCCAGTGATATCTGAATCTCGGTCTTGACCAGTGTGAAAGTTGATATTGCTTTGCATTCGCAAATTTAACAATATTAGATTCGGTTTCACTCAACGCGCATCTCATTTAATGCTCCACATTCGAACAGTTTCTGACTTTTGTTTTTAATGTAACAAGAGTCGACTAGCTACCGTCCTATTATTTTGTTTATTATTTCAATACGCTTTCGTGCCAACTCTGTTACCCCCTTAGAATTGCCGTTTTACCCCTGCGAGATCGAGAATGATCACCCCCAGTTTAGGAAACACTGCTTTAGAGGCACCTCGAACGAAATGGTACCCGAGTGGAATACGATTTCGATCGAAGCGGATCGCATCGATCTGCCCGAAACCGTCGTGTAACCTCTCGACTCCTATCGTACGACCCGCCGTTCGTTCGGATCGATCGCGTCGCGGGCGTCCGTCCGTCCCGGCCCCGGGCCGTTCGTCGCGAGTTCTATATCGCTCGCGTTCCAGATATCACCGATTCGGTTCCGAACTCTGATCGTGAGTTGTCATTGTAGTGTGAATAATGTTTTATCGATGTGTTGAATTGATGGAGTGTTAATAAAATACAGCTTGACGGAGTGTTAATTCTTCGATTCGCCTCTTGTTTTTATTCATTCCAAGCTTTCGTTTAACTTCGCGTAGTAAATGTTTCACGTCGACGATCGAGGAGCCCGGATCGCTAACGGTTCCGGTCTCGACCCCGTCTCGGGCGACTTTTTTAAGTATTTCTCGTGATATTCCTCCCCGAGTATGTGTATTTAAAATATTACACCGGATACCAGCTCGAAATGAACGAGAGATGACAGGAAATAAAACAATAGTAAAGTTTCAACGATTTCACCTTTAATTGTATACTTACATTTATTATTTACAAGTGAGGCAGTAACAGTGTCGACGAACCAAACGTACGTCGGCGCGGGACCACTGTTCGACAAACGATAAATATACTAATTAAAATCAACATACACTAGAGGTCTGCGCTCTCGTTATCATACAAATAATACAAAACATCTTACAATTATATTTATATTAAATTATATTGATATAACTAAGAGATCACCGATAATCAGTCGCCAAATAAAAATTATAATTCGGATATTACTTTTACACAATTATTGTTGGTGATGCAACGAATACAACTTCGATGTTTGCCGAACACACGTTAGTTTAATAAATTAATGTTATCTAACAGAATTTAGTCTTTTTTTGACTTAACATAATGTACAACAGATTATGTAACTGAGTTGACAGGTATTTTTTTTTAATTAGAAGTGACTGCAACACGATGAGTTACTGTAGGCGCAATCGCTAATAAAGTTAAGATCAAAATAAAAATACTTTAACGACATTTTTTCAGGTAAACGTCTATCCAAAATTACAAGTTGTCCTGGAAATTTGTCGGAGGTCATAACAGACAAAAATATTTTACGTATCTCTAACTATGTAGCATCCGTTGGATCACAAAAAATATATAAATATGTCAACGATCAAATTATCCAAACGCAGAACACCCTGTGTGCCGGGCGGCGATGCGCCAACTTCGCCGTCGAACAATCGATCAATCATAAATAAATAACTATCGATTTATTACATGAAAAAAATATATTCGCGAATGAACTGGTAATAAAGTGATCGCATATTAAATTTGATATTTTTCAGCGAATCGGCGCTAAGTCGTCGCCTGGCCAACGGACGCATTCAATTTTTTTTATATAATATAATTTTACTTATAAATGTCAATCAGCACGTATTTAATATCCGCTTCGAATAGAACTCCAATGGTAATCGCATTACAGTTCAAAATCGGAACTTAATTTTAAAGACGTTTATGATGAGAGGCGTGCCCGGCCCCCGATCTGTCGTGAAATAATTTATATACAAAGTCGACACCTCACCACGAATCAGATCGATGTAAGAAGCACTGTCATCCAACTTCCTGACAACGGTAAATAGAGTCCCAACAGCGAATGCGACATGACAGACCATAACAGAACTGTGGCATTCCTTTTTCTTTATATTTGAGCGTCATACGCGTACAAAAGTATATTACAACTAGGGGCGCACGACGTTTATCGAGTAATTTTTGGTTTTCGATTTTCCTCACGATAGCGACAGACGGGGGGCGGGGCACCTCACACACCGTCGTTTGTGAAGGCTTCATCGCGCGGACGATCCGCGAGCGAGTCTAACGCCGCAGCCAACCGCCCGCGTCTCTTTTCACTCCTTCCTCGCTCGCGAATCGCCAGGGCGACGAGCCCGTGGTAATATTTAATTATCTTAAACGTATCTCTGTATGGTACACGATACCGCACGACGGTCGCGCCGGACACGCGAGCCAGAGGACGCTCGCGACGGCCGGAACGAAGTCGATTCGATCGTAATATGTACAATTTTACAAGGAGGGAGCGGCGCCGGCCGCCACGGAGCTATGTACATAGTTTTGTTTCCCATAATAATATAGAGTTTAGGACCGATACAGATAACCTTCCGAGTCGCCGGCCGAACCTCGCACAGTCTATATCACATCGCGCGCGGCGCAGCGTCCGGGAGCTAGCGGTACGTTACATATAATATATTACAAGGCGCGGCGCGGGGCCCGCCGCCGCTATTGGCGCTGCCCCTCCTCGTCCGCTCCGTCGTGACACAATATTCTGGAAGGAAACATATTCGTTACTCACTCACTCATCAGCTAATACACTACGACGATACGTCGGCAACTCGGGACCGGTGCACCAGTTTTACCCGCGACTCGTGGGACAGATTCAATGACAAAGAAAAGATCATAGAAATTTCCCAAAAAACTAAATTTACATAAAAGACTTCGTGTGATTCGAATTAATACTTAATTACTGTAATAAATATTTAAAACTTTCAATAAATACATATACTAAAGAGACAAGAGATCTCGTAAAATTCAAAAATGAAAGTGTATTTGCTTTGGAAATAATGAACTCACGGGATGAGCAGCGCGAGCGCGAGTAGAGCGGGCAGGCGCCGCGCGGGCGGCGGCGGCAACAGCGCGCCCAACAGCGGCAACAACGCGCCCAACAGCGGCAGCAGCGCGGGCAGCAGCAGCGCCGCGCCGTTGCCGTGCTGCATCGCCGCCGGCTGCTCGCCTGTGCACATACGGACGGTGGTACCAGACGGGAGCGAAAGAGAAGAATGAGGAAAAATTTGATGTTCCTCGTATCCATAGTATTCTAAAGAAGCTCCCGAGTCACAGACTCGATACGGACCTAGTCCTGGGCCCCGCTAGGTGTACATAATCAAAATAAAATAAATATAATATATAACACAAAATAAGACTGTGTACGAAATCCCTGAAATACAATCAAACTAGGGATTCTCTACTTTCAGCGATAGAGCCCATACAACACGGCTGTATAATCTTTGTATAACAGCAATATTGTTGACCTAAAACTGCTACGCTTGTCTGGATAACGTCTGCGTAAGCGCTTATATGGATGATAATCAAGCAATTTGGGCACAAAATTACTATCTTTAATTAGAATAACAGCTGGTCAATAGCTAACTAATTTCCTTCATGCAGCGTATAGTGCTTGATGGATGCAGCTTGAAGATTTAAGAATTCAGAGATATATTCAATGCTATATAGAAATTATGCAAATAAACGTACAACATGTAGTTTTTCATATCGTATTAATTTTGAATGATGTATTATATGTTACATGATTTAAAAAGTTAATAGTTTAAATGCAAGTCACTTTGCTGTGGAAATATATCTTATATATATAAAAATTTTGTATCACGATGTATGTTGCCAATAAACTCCAAAACTACTGAACCGATTTCAATCAAATTTCACATGTACCCGTATTTTGGTCTAACTTACTGGATAGGATAGTTATCATCTCAATTATTCGCTTATGTCGTGAATGTAAACGAATAAAATGTACTAATTAATGTTTCTTAAGCAAGTGTTTATTTACTGTTTAGTTTTATGAAGTTCTCATAGATGGCGGTATACCGTGATTCGTAGATAAAACTCTTCAATATCGTTTGACATCTAGGTTGCAAATACACCCAATAGATGGCGCTGTGTTCTAGATGGCGTTTGTTCTAAAGTAATCTGCGGTAACACCCAATAGATGGCGCTGTGTTCTAGATGGCATTTATTCTAAAGTAGTCTGCGGTAACGTTTCTCTCAAAGAAAGTTGCGTAGATTACGTTTTTGATTAAGTTTTGTGTAAACTTCAGAACTGTTTTTTTTTAACTTTATTTCAAATTGCATTAAATTGGATTAATATCTCTAAAGTTTCAAAGATAAAGTGCTTAAACATCAAGGTAATTTCATCATCAGCTCAAAAAACAAAAGTGTTTTTGGAAAATATGATGCCCAAAGTAAGTATATCACGCGGACGAAGTCGCGGGCAAAAGCTAGTATATATATATATATATACTATATATACTCGTATATAGTAATTATAGTGCAAAATTTCGATGCGCCTATTAATTACACATGTTACAGTAAAAGCTCGACGTACTATAAATCTTAATATAACTCCTAAGATTTACAGCATATGTTAGTAAATGTCCGAATTATATAAAAAAGAGATTTATGTTTATTATTAGTAGTTAGTAATTAGTAAATCTTCAAAATACTTTTTGAACATTATAAAAAACAACAAAAAATGATATTATAGTTAGCGAAGCTAACTGAATCATTATTTTATTTAATGGTATTTAAGAAACTAAAAAAAATTATGTCTTTAAAAAAATATTTTTACTGATTACAATAGGGAGCGCTATTATGACATTTGTATTACAAAGTAACCCATGGACAATTTCTGGCTGATGCCTTCTCATATCATGATTTGATATTTCTCTCATATAAAACTCGTCGCCTATTGGTCGCAGCTTTATATGTAGTTGTGGATCTGTAGACGGAAAGCTTTAGTTATTTGATTCGGTCCTCACTTCCTTGTATGATACACACGCACCGATTCGTCCGGTCAAGATGAAACATCAACCTTGGCTCACGGAAGATTTCAAACGATTGTCTGAGCGTAAAGCTGCTGCTAAAACGAAATAAAAATGCCGGCCTACCGCTGCTAACTGGGAAAAATACGTAAATACCCGCAATCAATGTAATAAGGTGTGTAGGAATGCACAACGCCAATTTATTCATACCTCGATTGAAAATGAAAATCCAACGAAAGAATGGAAATTCCTGAGATCCATGGGCATTGGTAAAAACCCTCGGTTTCGAATTTTGATATTAACTTACTCAACGATCATTTTTGTTCTTCACATGGTTTCGTTTCAACTAATAAGTAGAATACTTTGAATTTTCTCTCATCTCTTCAATGCCCTAATTTATCCCTATTTTCTCTTTTTCAATTCTCTGTGATGTGTTGTAACTAACCATTCGTATGTTTATAATTCCTTGGCTGAATACACTCATTATGTTCATATCGATCATCTTTTAAGTTTTATTCCACTTATATTTTTCACTTATTTATACATTATATCACAATATATATGACTCACTGTTTGTCATTTTTAGGTATTGAAACTCTGTAGTTTTTGAATTTTTAGGATTTTAAATTGAAATCATTTACTTCCAAATTTGAGCTCGCCCTCAAATATATAAAGCCTTGTCTGTGTAGTCCTGTATCACTATAACGGCAACAGTGGCCCAAGTTAGTTTTTTGAGCTCGTACTGAGTTACCTTAATTCTTAAAAGGCCTATTTCACGCGGCCGACTGCCCTGGGAACTCTTCAAAGTTACGGTCTCAAAGTCACTTGACACCATTTTGGCTTTAATTAGACGCCAACAAGTCAATACTCTACTAAAATTCCTTCGCTACACTACCACCTACATTCTTGGACTAAAATATCCCTTCCTGGAGGCTGTCTACGAGTCTACACCTTGAGGCCGAAGCTGCTATTCAGTTCTGGGCTGCCTGAGAATCACTCGTTCGACGCATCGAAAAACTACACCTCGCCGAGTTACGCTCCGGATCCAGACTGCAGAACCACATCGCTGATTCTTTGAGTTGCCGTCGAATATATCTGAGTGACGCATCAACATCATCAACGGAACTTCGTCGCTGACCCACCCCCCTTTACCGGACCACCTACACCACTGACATCTATCACTTTTCACTACTCACTTCACCACTCACCTTATGAGGTGAGTGGGTTATGACCCTATTTTTTTGTGTAAATAAATTATTTAATTTTAAATTTCCATCTTTGAATTTAGTTAGACACCCCTGTTTCATAACTGATGTTAAAAAGAGTATTATGTCAATTTCTTCTGGAGCCGTAGTTAGTGACTGCATCAGCCGTAAAATGATCCTCCCTGTCCTAGATGTAGTCCTTCCACTTATAACACATGTCCTTAATCACTCCATTTATACTGGGATATTTTCATTTAATTGGAAAGATGATCAAGTCATCCCTTTGCCAAAGAAATCCAAGCCTTTTTTTTTACTTTTCTGACTACAGAAAATCTCAATCCTACCATTCCTATCTAAAGTCCTTGAACGTCTTGTCTACAATCAACTGTCCACCATCCTTATTAATAACCAACCCCTGAATCCTTATCAGTCCGGTTTCTACGCTGGTCGCAGCACTGCAACGGCGCTAATAAAAATCACCGATGATATCAGGTCAGGCATGGAAAATGGAAAAGTCACTGTTCTTAGTTTACTTGACTTCAGTAGTGCCTTTAATACGGTAGATTATGACATATTGCTTGGCATACTACGCTCAATTAACATATTTCCGGTGTTGATTGATTGGTTTCGTAGTTACCTTTTTGGACTCCGACAGCGTATTCGCATCGATGATACTTTTTCAAATTGGTGTGATATTACTGCTGGGGTTCACAGGGTGGCGTTTTATCCCCATTCATTTTCGCTTTATTCATTAATTCCATTTCAAATCAATTACTTTCATCTTACCACCTCTATGCAGATGATTTGCAAATTTATTCCCAAGCTCTCGTAAATGAACTTTCTCAGGCTATTTGTAATTTAAACAACGATTTAGACACAATTTGTAAGTGGAGCAAATCAAATGGTTTGCGAGTCAATCCATCTAGACTCAGGTTATTATAATCGGCAGCTCCTCAACAGCTAACAAAATTGACTGGTCTCTTTAGATATCGTGAGAAATTTGGATGTTTGGATAGATAAAAGTCTTATATGGAGGCCTCACATACAAGAAGTCAGCCAAAAAAAATTTGCTGCGGCGGGAACCCTAAAACGGTTATGTAATTTTCTCCCGTCGTCCACAAATATGATCGCGTATCCGATTTTCGTGTTAAGCTCAAGTGGCTGCCAATTCGTCTTCGCCGGAATGCACATATTGTTTCGCTTCTTTACAATATTCTTTTTAATCCATTCCCTCCTGCTTATCTTATGGAACATTTTAATTTCCTCCATAATATACACAGTCATCGGAGAACTTGAAATCGGAGATAAAGAGAGATACAAATCTTTTACTGTTTAAGCTGCCCGTCTCTGGAATGCGTTACCGGAAGATGTGAGACGTGCACTATTCGTTCGTTCGTCCGTAAACGGTGCAGTTATCCAGCACATTTCTGTTTAATTACCATACCATGATACCATACCATATTCTCATACCATGATTTATTATTCAGATATTGTATGGATAACTCCACAAATTTTATTCAGTATGCAGTTACTTTCTGTATAAAAATGATAAATTTTTATATATTTTTTTCTACAAATTCTTACAATATAAAGACAGTTATTTGATAAAGTCTGAATTATAAGGTAGTTGAACCCTTCTCGCTGTATTTTGTTTTATGCAGATGTTAGCTGTATAAAAGATAATTTTCAGGTCTTGGATAAGTGAGTGTTATTTGAATTGTTATGTAGGTTAAAGAGAGTATGTCTATGATTATTCAGAAGAAATCTGGTTAAAGAATGCTTATACAGAATATATGTTGTTTTAAGCGTCATTAACATTACAATGACAGTTTTTAGCGGGATTCCTACCATGTATCGATAGACATATATGACACATATACGAAAAAACTTCAGTCATTCCGTGATCATGGCGCTTGCAACAGCGGTGAAATATCGGGAACTCAACAAAAACGATGTGCGTGATCATACGACTAATTCTGAATTTCCGCTACTTTGCAACTAATACTTATTTGAGATGCATCTATTTGAATATCGTTTGCCTAACTGACCTATTTATGATTACTATTCAACTTATAGGGTTATTTTGTCTAAATACTCTTTTAGCCAAAATAAAATTATCACGTCAGCAGTAATACAAAGGTTATGAAGCTATAATCTGCTTATTGTAATATAATTTTGCTGTTATGAGGCTTGTGAGCTGGCTGGGAGCTCTCGTACTCCTCGAAGTATTAATTCATTCGTCGTCATAGATATGAGTTTCATACATCGTCTATGAACAAAAACCTATCGTAACCGTGCATCGATCGATAAAGAATTGATTATTGTGCGTTTTTCAAACGCGAACTCACCGCTGAGTACGTGCAGGACGACGGAGGCTGAGTCGAGGTTGGAGGGCGAGCACGAGTAGTTGCCGGAGTCCTCGCGCCGCGGACCGTAGATTATCAAGTTGCCCACCTGCAACATCCACCATCACCACCGCTAATAGCAAAGACTTTACACAATAACTTACTTATAGTTGAATATACATGCATTATAATATTTTAGCAAAGGGCAATTTTCACAAGGGCTTCTCATAGGATGAGTGGACAAAAATTTATTATTTTCAGCTCCCCGTGGTTCGGTAGGCATGTTAAGCCGTTGGTCCTGGCTGCATCAGCTATATTTAGACCTAAAACCCGCACTGGGCGTGGTGGAGCATAGTCCATTTATTCATAGGGAAGGCCTGAGTCCCAACAATGGCGACATCAATAGGCTGGTGTTGAATCACACTCTTCATAAAGTTAAACAGAGTCATGCCCGAAAATTGATTCGATCGATAAAGAATATCTTTGTAACAACAAGCCATAAAATTTATCGTACCGTAGTATCAGGCGCGACGCGCTCCATCCGTATCTCGACGAGACTCTTGTCGTAGTTAAGGACGCGCTCGTCGTTGTGGTACCAGAATATATACGCGGGCTCCTCGAGCGCCTGCGTGATCACGCACTTGAGGCTCACCGTGGTGCCCGCCTTCACATACATGTCCGACTCTCCAATGATCTCAATCTTTGGCACTAAAATTATCAAAAAATATAAGTTTCATTTATTATTTTGGATGGTATATCAGTATATAAGTCTATTAATACGCATTTTTGATGGTTTTAGTTTTAACGTTTTTTTTTAGAACAATTCTCATATATTTTCTTAATGATTTTGTTTGTATCCAAATAAATTAGCAATAATACAGAAAACAACAAGGAACTACTTATTCCAAATTATAGCTTTCTATTAGAATTCTTATATCAATCCATGGAGCATCGGTATTTAATTTTTCATGAAAACAAATAAATAGTAAATTACTCATTTGAACAAAGTCGAAGAATTTAAATACCGCGCATCTATATTTAATACCAGAGTTAGTACAGAATCTGATATTGTATACAAAATGATTACTAGCTGTATGAAATGCGGGAATAAAGGAAATACAGAAAGTGAAAGTGAGTGAAAGTGCCAGACTCCACGTATGGTGCCGAAAAATGGGTAAGGTACAACGATATACTCCACAAGTTAAGTGTCTCCTAAAGAAATATGTAAAGATAACGCCTGGTTAAGAAAACAGAAAGTTAAAATGGCTGAAGTGATGCGGCGTTTGCGAAGTTCTAATGGCAGTAGGCAGCACTTAAGTATATGTAGTTTGTTAGAATGAGAATGGAGACCGTTGGGACATAAAAGACTACTGGGGAGACCAGACAAAGATCAAATACAGATGAGATGAAAGGATGACATACCGAAGGTGGTGGACAAAATTTGGATATTTACGGCTCAAAATAGAACAGAGTAAAAAAGGTTGAAGGAGGCATACACTAAATCAGTCAAACAAAGCTCACGACGAGTCCTGTGATATGACAAAAAACAGATGAAAAACAAAAGCATTGTGCGCAAGCCAGCTGTAAGGCCAGCTATGGGCATCATATTATTGGGTGACAAGGAAGTGTCATGAACACAAAGTACTTCATACTGCTGAAATGATTCCAAATTTGATAAAATGAGTAACGATTACATACGTAAGTTCTTCAAAATATGAGCGGGTATGAGCATGTAAGCGTGACGTATGGTCATGTAAGGCACGTAAGCGAAAAGCAAATGACGAGGCGATGATGGATAAAAAAGTATACGGTGTAGTAGACGCCCAGGCCTGGATGAGGGTTATATTCGTAGTTACCGATCTTAAAATCTTAGAATTAACAACAAAAATGACCACAAAATCGCTAAAAATTGCGTGAAAGTATGAGGAGGGCCGACCTCGAATATAGTTTAAGCCAGGTGTTTGACTGATTGTCAAATTTATATTTATTTATTTATTAATAAAATAACAAAACTTGCTCCTACTCCCGTTGTTCTACTGAAACTTAATTGATACAATTAATCCAGTCGTTTGTTATTGCTCTTGTTAATATTGAAAATTTTATTCTGTGTTGAGACCTACCTACAACGTTGAGCTGCACAAAGTGGCTCATCTTGGGTTCGGTTCCGACCTGGCACTCATACACGCCGGCGTCGCGAGCCTGCACGTACTTCACCTGTAATCATTACATTTATACAATCTTTATTGGAATATTAAACTCTGTGAGCAGAGCTCTCAGATTACAAAAGTTTTCTAAAATTGCTTTTAAGTTCCTCAATCACATAACCTTTTTCAGGATCCGGACTGATCCTATTAAGGAAATATGAATCGCTTTTTTAGATTTATGATAATTGTACCTGCAGAGTCCAAGTATCGGTGGCTTCCACCAGGAATGCTTGAAAACGTTCGTCGGCGATGAAGGTGAAACGATCCACGGTGAGGATATGAGCGTCGCGTCTTCTGATCCATGACACTGACTTGTTGCTGAGCTGGCGCACCTGGAATAAATCATTAACAAAATGTATTTTATTAGCTGCTTGCGAATCAAAACTATATTTGGTCAATAAATTGCATGGATTAGGTTTAATGTAGGTACTGTAGTGTTACCTTGCAAGGTAAGTATGCGTGTGTTCCGAGTTGCGCTGTAATATTGTTGGGTGCCGCAGGGTCGAAGTAGGGCCCCGTGTAGAGGCCCACGTATCGCTTGGCCACGCGCGACCCGCCGCCTGCCTCGCCGCACGACAACACTGATGACAAAACAACCACTCTCAATGCAATATTCACAATACTTAAATTAGTTTTCAAATTAGTTCGACATTATTTTATTTATAGGGAAAATATAAAATACTAATTTATACTAAACGGCAATTTTTCTTCTGTTTCTTTAAGGCTAATTATTTTAAAAGTCTGTTAAAAATATTTAACCAATCGTATGTTAAGGTTATTGATAAATTTCGTTACAATTTCTTTTATGTCATACTATTAGGTTGGTGAAAACGTTTTTTCGGATATAGTATGCATAAACTTATAATAAAAATCTTTGTAGCTTATAATAAATACCATTTGTATCTGGCTGGTTTCATTATCATTAAAAACTTTAAATTTAAAAGAAGGTAACTCCGATTTTATATTAGGAATGTGTGATTTTTATTTGTTTTTCTTACTGTAAATCTAATGAAGAAGTTCGATATATTTTAAAATGCTATTACAAAAATTGTTGAAAGGCAACGCAAGCCGCGAAATAAATTTACGTCCTTCATGGACCAAGTGCATGCAGTTTCTGTAAGAGTAGCACAAATTTGTTTTAAGAGTTTTCAGTCTGGAAATTTTGATGTCAAAGATGCACGTCGCTTCGGTCGCCCTGTTACGGATAAAATGGATGTCTTTGAAAAAGTGGAGCAAGATCGGCATATCAGTACTTACGACGCAGATGAAGAACGAGTGATTAACTACAAAATAATTTTGGTGCAAAAGCTGGATATTTGGGCCTCATACCTCTCTACCTCTACCTCACAATCTCACTGAAAGAAATCTAAGGAACCGTGTACTTATTTCCAATTCTTTATTAAGGCATAATGAAACTGAACCATTTTTGAAGAGTCTGATAACTGGTGGAAAAATATGGATCACGTACGACAAGTCAGGCTTCATAGACTGTGGCGAAACTCAAGTTAACTCGCAAAAAGGTGATGCTGTGTAAATTATGAGATTAGATGGGCATTATTTATTATAATTCAACTGCGAACAACTGCTGAGATTAAAGCAAGAAGTTGGGAGAAAGCGGCTAGAATTAATGAATGTGGTTGTGGTTTTTCATCATCAGAACGCTAGACCTCACTGTTTTCGCCACTCCCCAAAAATTAAGAGAGTTTAGCTGGGAAGTGTTAATGCATCCGCCGTATAGTCCTTCAGATTTGCACCTGTGTCGGTCTCTTCAGAATCCTTTAGGCGATGTCAGGTTAACATCACGTGACGACTGCCAAAATTACTAATCGCGGTTTTTATCAGAAGCTCCAAAATTTCTACTGCAATGGGATCATATCCCTACGTACACGATAGGACAAAAGTTATAGAACAAAAGGGTACCTACATACTTTAGTTAAATGTAAATTAACTTTATCAAAAAATGTTTTGAATTTTCATATAAAATGCGAAGAAACTTTTTCCTCGACCTATTATATAAAATCTCATGTGTCTGTTGAGTTCAACTATTGATTCAGATAATTTTTTGGGTCACAAACAAAAAACGATAACGGCGAATTGTTCGGGCAAATATCGAAACCTATATAGAGTTGAATGCAATTTAATATTTTATTATATTTGAATGTTACCAGGAGATGTCCAACATTTCATTTCCATGGAGAGTTGGGAAGTGCTGAATTTATAGAGACGTGGCTGAGACCTCTTTTCACGTTTCGCCATTTAATATCAGGGCGTGTTTGCTTGTAGCTTAATATACGTATAATCTTTAATGTTTTTCAGCCTCGGATATGATGTTCATAGTTATTTGAATTAAGTCGAGTCAAATATTGTGAAAAGTGTTCTACATACTTAGTATTTAATCTGAATGTCCTGGCAATTTGTACGTCAGTTATATATTTAAATTTTATATTTGAATACTATGACATCTGTCGGATGTCTTCCCAACTTGCAATACCACTATATTACTGTGCAAGAGCTAATTATAATAGTAAATAAAAAAGAGATAATTAAATGAATCTTTTAATAAAAAGAGGCAGAGAGAGCTAAGGTTCTTTATTTGAAGCTCGGGATAAGAGACGAGAGCTGTGTAGTTCCGTAAGACTTTATTACGTAATAAGAACATCAAATGAGGCACGCTGAAGTACATATATATATAGTAAAACAATTATATATAATGGTGTTATATCACAATCCTCAAATGTACGCTATAGGTTCATGGGCAAAGGCACTTCCCTCCCTACGATTCATGCATCGGTACATAGGACCGAAAGGAAGTTTTCTCATTACTCACTTTTGTTTGTTGATTGACATTGCCATTGCTTCCATTTTGTCCATATATTTTATATGTATGCTGACGACTTACTGATACCGAGGATACGGAGAGTTAGGTCAATCACTTACCATAATCTTATGGTGCCATTTTTGTGTTATAAAATTTCTAATTGAATTCCAGGAATAATATACAAAACAACAAAAATTAATACATACCTAGTCTGGCCATAAATATCGTTCGAATTAAAATTAAACAAAGAATTTCGAATCTGTCATTTTTATATGGTTGTTCATTTCATGTTTTTTAAAGCGACTTCAAAAATGGAGGAGGTTCTCAATTTGACTGTATGTTTTGACTGTATATTTTCTTTATATAACAAAACAAAATATGATTTTCATCAGATATCACCTAAATATTTACAATAGCGTACTTTACATTTATTCAAAATTCCGAAGGAGGTATTTCTATGTTCGACAAGTGTTTTAAATAGTATTCTTTTTGTAGATAGATTATGCTTTTTTATGTTTTCATGTAAATATATTTTGTAGAATTTGTGAAGTTCTATTGTCGGTATTGTCATTAATACTTTACTCTTTGGAAGACACACCAGATCCTCGTCTTACTTCAATTTTTCATAGGTTCCCCTACTTCTATCGAGCGCTCAATAATATAGCTACATATTTATATTATACTAGCTGTGACCGCGATTCCGTCTACGTAGGAAAGTATATGAGTAGAAGAATTCTTTCTTTCCTATGAATGAAGTTGAATCAAATAGGATAGAATTATTGTTTAATGCTAGGTTGTCTGGAAAAATCGTTGGCTAGCGATAAGTTCTTCTTAATACAAAATGTTTAAAATATCCACTTGGTCCCTGGCACTCTGAGATCGGAATCGAACCCACGACCTTTCGCAATCCAGGCGACTGCTCTAATCGCTGAGCTACCCAGGACCTAACAGGACTGACGAATCTTTCAAGCACTTGTTACTTTTCGCTACTACAGAGCGTATTCTCATCAACGTTCAGGCATCCACCGATACTAATACTAAAATACTAATAAAAATATAGCGAAAAGTTCGTATTTTGTACATAGTTATGCAAAATATTTATGTATGTTCATTATATTTTCTTGTTGTGCAAAAAAAGTATTTACTAACTTCTTTAACACCTCGTGAACTGAATGCACTGACCCACCGCGCCATCGGACCTCTGTTAATATATAGTATAATATAATAAAGAGCAAAGATTTGATTCTATGTTTGCATTGAATTGGCTCCGGAACTACTACACAGATGTAGAAAAAACTTTTCACTTAGAACTTTTCACACTGGGAAGCTAGATCATACGCGGGTGAGAAAAGATATAATTAACGCAGACAAATCTTAATATTACAGATCTTAATTCGGTGGATTATAATTTATGGTTAGAGAGTAAGGCTTGCTCTAAACGCTATTGCAGTTTGGAGTCTCTAAAACAATCCATACGTTTGGCAATTAAGAATTTTCCCATGGAAAGAGCGCGTGCGTCTATTGATAACTTACCTCTTCGAATACTTTGAATAAGCTGTCGCTATAGTAATAAATGTTACGTTCAGTAAATAATGTTGATTTTCTATGAAACAATATTCAAAGCAAGAATATATACCTCTATAAGGTTTATTAATTAGAATTTCTGCCTCTAAACCTGGTGGCTGTCTGACCGTTTTCTGTTCTCAAAGTTCATCGAGTAAAACAAAACAACAAAATAACTTCATCTTTTATTGAGTCGTGAATATAGGTAATGGTAAAAATCCCTAAACACTTCTTACAATGGTTTTATCAATGGTTTTTATTACACATAGATTTTTAGTTAATGAAATATCTCGTAAATGAGCACTTAGACGTTAATCAAAAGGAAACTTAAATTCATTGTGTGACCGGTTGTTACTGTCTATTTTTATAACGTCCTTTGGAGCTTCTACATCTTTATCTTGTTTGCGTAATGCCTTTTACCTACGAGTAAAATACTAAACCAACATCGAAAACGTCAAGAAAATCAAACAGATGACTATTTATTTGAAATAAAGGGTGTGCTTTTAGTAAGGCATCTAAAAAGTACGTTTTTTCTACAAAAAATGATTTTATATCTTCTAGATATAACAGTGAACTAAGTAAGAGACAGTGTAGAGCTGGCTACAAGCCAACTCGAGTGTCACAAAGTGCCCAGCTATTCGTTAGTATACTTTTGTTAATAAAATTATTTTACTTTACTGAAACTCTCCCGGTTAATATATCATTTTCAACTCCATTATTTGGTTAAATATCTATTTGTTATCAGCTTCAAGTGGTTCTAACATCTCCTTACTTTGTTCCCTCTGCTCCTCTTTCCATCTCTTGCCAACTGTTGGGCAATGAGGGACTGCCCCTTAAATAGATGTAACTTATATCTTGATAATAATAATAATAATATTAGGTAAAATAAATATCTGCGGTCGAGATGCGCCACGAATAACAATCGACGAATAGCGGCTGAGCCTCTTCTATCGAATATTCGCAACGATAACTCGCTCGTTATCGATTCAGAACTAAATGGGTTTGTGGGTCGTTACGTTCCGAACATTAACATAAAGTAATAAGGATAGGATTTATGTATTGTTAATATCACCTGCAGCTAGTACTGCACTCAACAAAACCAACCGGACTCTGCTTTGTAAAATATATTTTGATGGCACTCGCGGATGTGCTTTTTGCTCGGTGAGTAATCCGCGCAGTGCAGCACCTGCAGTTCATTCT